TAAACCCTAAACCCTTACACCGTAAACCCTAAACCCTAAACCCTTACACCGTAAACCCTAAACCCTAAACCCTAAACTCTAAACCCTAAACCCTAAACCCAAACCCTAAACCCTAAACCCTTAAAGCCGGAGCTCGAACCCATCCTTTCAACGTAGGTCACCGGCGTTTCCCGATGCCCGCATCAAGGCCGACGAGTCTTGAAAAATCCATTGATGCAAGGTTTAGGGTTTAGGGGTTTAGGGGTTCAGGGTTTAGGGTTTAGGGTTTTAGGGTTTCGGTTTAGGGGTTTAGGGTTTAGGGTTTAGGGTTTTAGGGTTTCGTGGTTTAGGGGTTTAGGGTTTAGTGTTTAGGGTTTTGGGGTTTAGGGTTTAGGGGTTTAGGGGCTTAGGACCTAAATAATCAACTACTGTAGGAGCCTAAATAATTACCTATACTATTTGGGGGGGGGTTCATTATTATAGTTATAGTCAGTATAATAGGCCCCCAAACCCTATTCTAAATATAAAGGCCCCTGCATTAGATGATTCCCGAAACTTTAAACCCTAAACCTTACTGACTTTGGCACTCGAGCATGCCGTAGCATACCTCATCTCTGAACTCTAATTAAACACAAACTCTGCACACAATTCATACTGAGCGGTGTAATAAAAAATCACTGAGACTCCAAATCCGCTTGATCTTTTAGGCATGCCTTGAAAAAAAGGGATTTAGGCATGCCTAAAAAGTCAGGAACTGTGGCGAAACGGTTTAGGGTTTAGGGTTTAGGGTTTAGGGTTTAGGGTTTAGGGTTTAGGAAGTCCTGGTTCATTGCTTCATCAAGATTGTTTCGGAGCCTCTGGATTTTATTTCGCTCTGTGCCCCTGGGAAAACATAACCCAGGATTCACATAAAGGTGAGGGGACCCCTCGTTAGGGCTTAGGGTTTAGGGTTTGGGGTTTGGGATTTAGGGCAGTGGCAGGGCGAGTTTTGGGGCGTCACGGTGAGAAGCCGGGGCAGTTTGCCATGATGGAAGCGGTTTAGGGTTGAGGGTGTAGAGTTTAGGGTTTGCCATAATGGGGTTTAGGATTTAGGGTTTAGGGTTTAGGGTTTAGGTTTAGGACTTATATAAAGAAATCATCAGAAGGAACCCCTAAAAAGGTAGGTTCTTCGGGGTCCAGGTAGGGTTTCGGGTTTGAGGCTTAGAGTCAAGGGGGTCCCCTCGAGGCCGCGCAGACTCTGGAACTGGATCTCGCTGCGGCAACCTTTCTGCCAATCTTTTGCCGCAGGTTTTCCCGAAAGATCGTTAAGGGCTTAAGGGTTTAACCATACATCCTAAACCCTAAACGCTAAGCCTTAGACCCTGACCCAGGTTTAGGGGTTTATGGTTCAGGGCCTAAGGGTGTTTGGAATTTGGGGTTTAGGGGTACCCTAACCCTAAACCCTAAACCCTAAACCCTAAACCCTAAACCTTAAACCCTAAACACTAAACCCCTTAACCTTCCGAGTTGGGCTTTGGTGTATGCTGTACAATAACAGTTCGGCCACTATAAGGGGAGACCCAACCTCACGTTTGGGGTGTGGGGTTTAGGGTCTAGGGTTTTGGGTTGAGTGTTTAGGGTTTAGGATTTAGGGTTGAGTGTTTAGGGTTTAGGGTTTAGGTTTTGGGTTTAGGATTTAGGGTCTAGGGTCTAGGGTTTAGGGTATAGGGTTTAGGGTTGAGGGGCTTAGAGCGCAAAATAGCGGCCTTAATAATCAGAATAGGGTTTTGGGGCACAGTATAGTATATTTATTCTAAGGGACCCCCAATTAGTTAGTATTGGTATAGCTATTTTGGCCTCAGGGTTTATGGTTTAGGGTGTAGAATCTGGTTGAGAGCCGTCCCTGAACCCAAAACGCCGAAGCCGACGATTCAGTTGAGCCTTAGCAATATGGCAACCCTAAACCCCAAATCCGCTTTAGGGTTTAGGGTAGCCTTAGCAATATGGCAGATTTATAGTATAATGGGCCCCAAAACCCAATTCTAATTTAAGGCCCTAAAATACCCAAAGCCCTGCACCCGTTAGCCCTACAGGCTCAACCTTACACCCTGAAGCCATAAACTGGAAAGCACAAGCCGTGAGGATGTGTTATCAGCGGCCCTATTCCCTAAACCCTAAACCCTAAACCCTACCCTAAACCCTAAACCCCTAAACCATGGCTAGGAATCTTAAGCCTGGATTTTGACGCATAGGATTCGAGTTTAGCGAGGGTTCTCTGCACGCCCTGAAAACCCAAAAGGCCTGAAGGAAGGAGTATACGATTCAGAAAGATGTTACTTGGAGGATCATGGGACTTAGTAAATAAGGTTATAAGTCCCGTAATTGGGATTATAAGTATAGTTGCCCTAATTATAACCATACTTACTAAGTCCCATGATCCTCTAAGTAGGATGCTTAATGCAAGTTGCGTGCCCAATTCCCGGACTAGGGGCTGCTAAGCTTCCGCGGTGTGCTGAACCTCTACGTAGCCCGAGAAGCAAAGCTCTTACAACACCTCAAAACAACCCAGATTTAATTGAAACCCTGTGGTGATTTTAAACAGGGTGTTCCTTTCAAGAGTATCTAACTCATCTTTCCTTCAAGACGTATAACTTTTACACCGCGTGGAATCCCTGGTAAAAACCGAGAAACTCAACCAAAACCCTAATTCAACACCGTGGAAGCAGCCCTAAATGCAGAAGCCTTAATAATTAGAATAGGGTTTGGGGCATATTAGGTTATAATCATAATAAGGAACCCCCGAAACCCTATTCTAATCAGTAAGGCCCCTACATTAACTTGAGGGCTCTTCGAGTTTGCTGGGAGTTTCGGGAGTGCTGCGAGCGCAGATGTCATGGTTGCACGCAGCTCGGAAGCCAGGTGCATGGGACAGGGTTTAGGGTTTAGGGGTTTAGGGGTTTAGGGGTTCAGGGTTTAGGGTTTAGGGTTTAGGGTTTAGGGTTCAGGGTTTAGGGTTTAGGGTTTAGGGTTTAGGGTGCACAGGGAACCAGGTCATGGGCATTTAAATCACACTGCGCTTGACTTCTCACGAGGTCTCCACTTACCTGGATAGACAACATACTGGAGTAGCTGATGTACGGCTGATGGACAAAATCCTGCATGACCTTATATACCTAAACTATGGGATTTATGGTACTATACTATATTTGGGTCATGCAGAATTTTGTCCATCAACAGTATCATAGCCCAGACTACGGGAACTTGGTAACACTCATGGTTGGTCTGCATAGTGCAGGAGTTTGTCATCTGCAAGGCTTCGTCTTCTCTGGACTTGTAACCGAAGAGAAAGAACTATAGACCTTGATTTCATATGAAGGTTCCTTTATATACAAGTATGGTACTCCAGAGCCCAGTTTAAGACGGTAGGTCGTGATTTTGGTTAGTGGTGGGAGCCCTCGCGTTGCATAATTATATACAAGGAGTTGGTGAGACTGGAGAAGCTTGGCCGACTTCTGAACCAATACTGACAGTGAGACCTCCGGTCTCTCAATTCTACTTATTGTACTAACCCTAAACCCTAAACTATATAGAAAGAGAAATCGAAGTCAGCCAAGAAAGGAAGACTTCTCGTTGTAGGTTGGGACTAACAGATGTTTTTGGATTTAAGTTTGGGATTAAGGAAGGCTTTCAGGCTTAAATAACTTAAACCTGTTTGGTTTAGGGGTTTAGGGTTTAGGAATTAGGGTTCAAGGCCTTTGGGCTGTAAGATTGAAAGATCGCAGCCAACAAACAGCTTGTTGAGCTTTCGATGCTGCGAAGCCCCTCAGGGTTTTCGGGTTCGGATGGAGAGGGTGCTAAGTTGAACTCAGGATTTCGAGGGATTTCGCCCGCAAAGCCTCGAAAGGAAAACACCCTCAGGGCACCACTTCAAGCGGCCTGAAGTAGCTCCGGCTATGGCTCAAGTTCCAGCAGACCCCTAAAGCATACTGAAACGAAGGGGAAACAAACCCCATCTTAAAGCCGCGCCTGGCATCAGAGTTTCAGGATGCTCTACATTTGGGGTCCTTTGAGGGTTCTTGGATTGAGGCTCTACAGCCGGAAGCTTATCGTACCGTCCGCATGTTGCACCACGCCGGTAGGTGGCATGCTCCGAATGGGGCCGCACTGGCCGCTGTAACCAGCTTCAATGGGACCGCTGTAACCAACTTCCACGGGAAACGATTCTGCCACCTGGGATGTACTGGCAAAGGGTACTGGTGACAATAGTAGCTTGCACATAAAAACTCACACACACACACACAACCTGACTGACTCTGCCCGTGTGTGTGTGTGTGTGTGT